TGTGAGGGGACAGGGGTGTTATACCCGATTCTAATGATTTGATTAAATCTTCGTTTCTTGCAGTTAACAGGGATTGATACAACACATAAAAGTAATACTCAGTGTTACACATGATCAGTGCTGATTATAGCCACATCTTATTGATTCGTGTTATTTTAAAGGACGTTCATGGGCAAAAGATCYCATTGTCAGATTCTTTAAAAATGTTGCATGATGAAATTACATCACACTAGAAATAAAATAAGCAAATAAAAGATGGGGGTCCCCAACTTTGTTTAGCCATAAGAATGCATGGAATTTCACCCTTTTTATGCAAATGCACAACTAATGTAAACATGGAAATCTGTCAAAAATAAGCTTATTGATTGTCCCTAGTATTGTTCACAGAAGCCTAGAAAATAACCATATAACTAGGTAGCATTTGAAATTTGTGTTAACAATTASAAAAATTAAAATGTCATTGTGCTACAAGTGTTGATCTGAAGCCTTCGTGTTACGTGAGATTTTATTTCAATTATACACAAATATGTCATTTTAATTTGATCCCATCGTCAGATTTTTTATCTAAAGTTAGGTATTACAAAGTACTTCAAAAAACAAAATAAAAAATACTTTGTTTTAGAGCTACAAGAGTTAACTTAGACGTGCATAAACAATGCCCATGAATGTCATTAAATAGTTATGGAATTGTTATTAATGATATTTACCGTATATGAATACTTTAGAACACCGTTTCTCTTCTCTTTGTCCAAATACAGATCTCCTCACAACTTCACAACAGTAGGTGATATTATATCCATGAGCAGCACTGTTCACAGTAAGAGTAACGTTATTTTTGCCAAAAATTGAGTATGAACAATTCTCCCTTTTGCAACAAGCATTTTCAGGATGTTTGGCATAGTTAGCTTCATTCATATGTCTTGAAGCCAAGGTTGAGGGGTATGATTCAAGACATTTAATCACAGAGGACAAAAATGTTTCCTTTCCATCCATCTTGTAATGCCAGCGCAGTGTAAGAGGACTTCCTTGTTCTACGTTGGTGTGTTCATCTGGTGCAGCAAGCCATGAAATCCCATCTGGAAAGTAATACAAGATTGGTTATCATAGAACATGTCCTACCATGACGCCTCTTTAAGAGGACACTGATTGGTGATATTGACTGAAGTTGACGAGAGGGTACAATCGGACATAACAAAGATAAGATACACCATTGTTGTTTCCAGAAAAAAATAACATGGATGCTTTACTGTTGAGTTCTTTATAGTACTGTTTTCATTGACAAGAGTCATGTGTAAGCAGTAGACGGGCAACGGATTACTATTAATCAATAAAATGTTTCTGTTTTCTTCCTATTTACATGATCATCTCCATGTTTGTCTAGATCGGCATGTAGCAATTGAAAAAGTGGCATATATACCATCACTAA